GCAAAAATCGCTATTTTTGCACTTTTAGGTTAGGATATCTCAATATCCTGACGTGTTGGAGAAATTCTGAGGCCGGATTCGGTTTCAGTGCCAAAAATTCTTCGGGGAACCATGTATGGTTTGCTTGTGCAAAAATCTTGTCGGACTGTGTTATAAGGGCGTTGTGCACCACAAATGTGCTCTCACAGGCCAGACAATCAACAAAGAATGCTACTTTGAAGTTTTGAAAAGATTGCGTGATACAATCAGGAGAAAACTACCACAACTTTGAGAAACTGGTGACTAGCTTCTTCATTACGACAATACTCCAATACACACATCAAACCTTGTGCAGCAGTATTTATTGAAACACAGTGTTACGTAGCTCCACCAGCCTCCACACAGTCCCGATATAGCTACCTACGACTTTTGGCTGTTTTCTTGATTCTAAATAATGCTTAAGGGACATCGATTGTTACTGTTAAAACTAATGCGACGAATGCACTAAAGGCGATTTCAAAGTCTGACTATCAAGAGTACTTTAATAAGTGGAAACATCGATATGAACGCCATATTCAATTAAATGAGGACTATTCTAAAGGATGCCACCCCCGGATGGTGAAGATTAAATCAAGCGTCGAGAAATCGAGGTAGTTCAGACACTTTTGAGACAGACCTCGTATACCATCATGGTTTTGGTATTACTTCACATTAACAGAAAGACTTATAAATTATAATTATCATACCAGTGGATACAGTGAAATTCAAATATACACCTGTATTTACCCTAGTGGGTTAAGTCAAGAACTGTAGATTGTCATAAAAATTTTCAGACGGTCTGAAAAACTGACTATACATGCGAATTGACAGTTTTATAAGTGTAAGCGCGAAATTCTTTGCAGTAGTTAGTTGTATCTTGGCGATTGCCAAGGTTGATTGCATGTAATATTAAACGGGTTATTATTATCATGACATATTTTCATAAATAATATGGATACAATATTAACAACAGAGAGTAAGCAATCATATACATACTAACGCTCTTGAGATAGTATACGAATCGGTAACAATGTCATACATTTATGTAAGTTGTAACAGGCTGCCGTTTAGTCTATAATCTCTTGAACGTACCTTTATAACGACTAGACGACGCCTAGTTATCTATGTGCTCGAAGCACATCAACCTACCTTGTCTTGGAGTGCGCCTGCGCAGAGTCTCTTCGGTACTCCGAGTTGGGTTCCCCCAACTCACCGCTTGGCGGCGCTGTCGCCCTTACTTAGTAGCGCTCGCGCGGCCGCTGCTGGAAACTAAGTTGACGATTCCAGTCTACCGGTATCCGCGTGATCCGTGCTACGCTACCGGCGAATTCGAATGAAATGTAAACACTAGCGACCTCCGGACAAAGGAAAGACAAAATAACGACTACTTGATTTAACAATGACGATTGACTAATTTATTCAATAAAATCAAATACACGGGGGATCTGCCGAGAGTCTTGCGCACGCTTGCGCGAATGACAATACACGCCGTATGGGAGAGAGAGAGAGAAAACCGCGATCACCGCGAACTAACCGCTCGCACGCAACAATTAATTTCCTCGCGCACGCTGCGCGGGATCGCACGCTATTAACAATAATAAAAAGGGGGAGGTGCACCTACCGCGAGAACGATGAGGATACGGTGGCGAACCGTATCCGAACAACAAACTGCTGAAACGCCGCTTCGCTGCTCGCCGCACCGCCGCGATTACTGTTACTGCTGTTGTTGTTGCTGCTGACGCTGCTACCGCTGTTGCTGCTATTGCTGCTGCTGCTATTACTGCTGACTATTACTGCTGCTGCTGCACCCAGCACCACACCAAAGTTCGCACTGTTCGCCTTAGCACCACCACACGAAAACTTAAACGGCTCGGGAAACTAAGGTTAGCTGCACGATACAGGCGGACTGAGTGACACAGTCATACTGCCTGTTGAACGCTCCCCTCCCGGTCATTGCCCCTACGCGCCCTCTCTCTCTCGCGAACCGATCGCGGCTTTTCTTGCTCAGCCGCTCGATAACCTCGCGCGAGTCGAACGATTTTCGGTAATCGTTGCAAAGTACTTCATTTATTTCCTTTTACGTGCATTAGCTTCTGTTGATTCGTATACTACGAGGGTAGGTCAATAAGTTCTCAGAAAATCCAATAAATGGCGCTTAAAGCATCCTAACTTATATTACACCAGCAAGCGTCACTATTAAATAGAGTACTGTCGAAGTTCCAGCTAGATCAATCGAGTAGTTTCGTTTTTATCGTCGATCAAAGTGAACAACTTTTGTTTCTTGTTAACAATGGAAAAAAGTGAGTTCCTAGCGGTGATAAAACATTTCTATTTAAAAGGCCTTACACAGAAAGAAATCAAAGCTGAGTTAGATGCAGTTCATGGTGTATCTGCCCCTGTGTTTGCAACTTTTGGATTTGGGTAAATGAATTTAAACGTGGCCGTACATCGACTGCAGATGAACATCGTTCTTCAGTCAGGCCGTCCTGTAGACGTGAGCACTCCGAAAATGATCAATAAAATCCACAACATGGTGTTGACTGACCGAAGAATAAAATTGCACAAAATAGTTGAGGCCACAGAGGTTTCAAGAGGTACAATCATTTCGATTTTGCATGAGAAATTGGACATGAGAAAAATTTCGGCAAGATGGTTGCCGCGTTTATTCTCAGTCGAGAACAGACGCAGTTGAGTGGGGGCCGCTGAGGCTCTCTTGGTGCGCATCTACTGTTATTCAGACGACTTTCTACGTCGATTCATAACTTTAGACGAAACCTCTACACTCCTGAGACAAAGGAACAGTCAAAACAGTGGATTGTAAAAGGTTAACCAGCTCCAAAGTAGGTTAAATCAGTGAAATCGAGCGGTAAAGTTATGGCCACTGTTTTTTTTTTGAAATGCACGTGGAATTGTCTTCGTCGACTATTTAGAAAAAGGACAAACAATCACCGGAGAATATTATGCGTCGTTGTTGGACCGGTTAAGCGAGAAAATAAAGGAAAAACGTTCTCATTTGAACAAAAAAAATTCTGTTTCGTCAAGATAATGCACAAGTACACACTTGCTTAGTTTCAATGGCTAACATTAAGGAATTGAAGTTCGAATTAGTAGATCATCCATTGTATTCATCACATTTGGCCCCTAGTGATTTTTTTTTATTCCTTAATCTAAAAAAGTGGCCTGCTGGACAACGATTCATCTCGAATGAGGAGGTCATAACACAAACAAATAGTTATTTTGAGGACCTTCCAAAATTATTTTTTTCTGATGACTTAAAAAAACTTGAAAGACGCCTGGAAAAGTGTATCGAAGTAAAAGGAGGTCATGTTGAAAAATAAAAGAATCTACCAAAAAAAGTTGTTTTTCTCTTTTTCTAAGGACTTATTGATCCACCCTCGTATCTCAAGAGCGTTAGTATGTACATGATTGCATACTCTCTGTTGTTACTATCGTATCCATGTTGTTTACAAAAATATGTTATGATAGTATTAATAACTAGTCGTGTAATTAATTTAACCTGTCTAATATTACATGCAATCAACCTTGGCAATATCAAGATACAAATAACTACTGCAAAGAATTTTTCGCTTACACTCAGAAAACTGTCAATTCGCATGTATAGTCAATTTTTCAGACAGTCTGAAAATTGTTATGACAATCTACAGTTCTTAATTCAACCTACTAGGGTAAATACAGGTATATATTTGAATTTCACTATACCCAATGGTGTGGTAGTTATAAATTATGTAAAATTTATATTTATAAGTCTTTCATGCGAGAAGAAATTGCAAATAGTAACGCGCTATTCAGCGGGATCGCCTTGGATATTGTGTATATTGAAGACCCAATGCTGGTCTTAGCAAATAATTAGAATTATAATAAAAGATAAAATGTATATCATCAGCAATTTGCTATTTGTTTTCCGTCTCCCGTAAATCGAACATTTGGTACATTGTCCTACTTTACAGCTAGAGTCAGATCCACGCCGCCTTTACGAGCAATCGCCCGTGGCATGATTGCAGTAAATTGTGCTATCGAAGAATGAATATTCTCCTGCTCAAACTACATGCTAGGTTACTGGGAATTCTCGAAGCTTACGAATATCATCATCATAAAATATTTAAGTTAGTACTGAGGTCGTTGAATAACGGCGTTAGGGAGTTCGCTTGCTTACTGTCATTAGACATCGTCACTGAAGTTTCACACAACTCCATCGTAAGTGTTTTTTGTTGTTTTTATTAACATAAAAATAGAAAAAGTTGTATCCCGCTTCAGAAGTATATTGTTCATGTTAGCTAGAAAAAAGTTAGGTTGTCCACGTTCATGATAAAATGCCTATGGACCAGACTTTCTTGATTAATTTAGTAAGGATAAAACTATTCGGACTCCTCATTCCCTAGATGGAATAACCGCAGTTTTAGAACCGGCAAAGCTGATTTGTGTATGTGTGTGCGATAATTAACATATTTACGTAAAAAGGCGGCATAGCTCCAATAGTTAACGAAATAGGATCAAAAAGAGATTAACTACCCTACATTTTTAAAAAAGAAATATCTCATAAGTTCAGAAGCTCATGTTTCAATAGTTTGAAAATTAAAATCTATTTTAGACTTTTAAGATAGAATGAGTTAATGTTTGAAGACTAAAGAATCAAAAAGAAACAAAATGTAAACACAATTGTAAGACTTATCCGTTTAAATATGTCACAGAACATATTTTCAAGATAAAAAAAATAAAAAATCAATATGAATAATGATAAGATTAATTACAATGAAATCAGCCATATTTTTGCATTATTAACTAAATATTTGAAAATTAAGTATAAAAATTTATCATTAATCCTAAAATAAGTGAAGTCGAAGAGCACATATTTAGAAAAGTAGAAAAGTTATTCATGTAAGATAATAAAATATCGTTCATTACATAGTATAAATGATTTACGATATTTAATATAAAGTTAACGTAGTCTTATTAATATACAGGTAACTAAAAACAAAACATGGAAAGATATAGCTGGCCTTCTAGGTATTGGTGCAAGTAGTAGTGCAGCATACACCTTAAGAAAACATTATACCAAGCATTTACTTGCATACGAGTGCCATTTTGACCGCGGGGGTGTTGATCCACAACCAATAATAAATCAAGTGGAAGCCGGTTCAAAAAAAAAAGGAACCAAAGGAACAGCATCTGTGCCTTCTCCTGGTAAGATTCATTATAATAATGTTATAATTTATTTTGGCATTCTAAATGTATACTTCCATGATAAAACTGAATAATAACTTTTTTCAAATTATAAATATCTGTTCGAAAATTGATCAACCTGAAATATGCAAAACATTTGATTAGATAAAATGTTATTAGGCAGAGTCTACTTTATACAGAAGTTTTGATTTACAAATATTTTTTACGATAGTTTTAATTTAGTTATTTTAAGTATATTTAGTTTTTTGTTAGTTACATAGAGCCTTTATTTTTGGGATATTGGATTATTGTTTCTTTATTTATCCTTTATGCTGTAACGCTATCACAAATGTAAATTTGTAATATATTACAATAATAAGAGTCGCACTGGATGAAATAGTGCAATATTATTTTCAAATATAAAGTCAGAATTTGACGTGCAATTTTATTAAGTATTACAACTTACCAAGATCAATAATCTCGGCCAAAATACTTAGAAATTGGCATTGTTAGCTCGCTGCCTCGAAGTTAAAATTCCTCAATAGCAGCGAGACAAAGAGTACATGAATTTCAGTACTAACTTATCATTTTCATCATTGAGTTTGAGAATTTGGCTCCCACGTATGCAGCTGCACTGGATTCTCACTTAATCACTCTCTTAATACTAAGACTGATTCTGTTATTTTGTCTTAGCGAGAGTCGTTGCTTGAAAAAGGAAATTATTTCTCGCGGTTGATTTGACGAAATGGAGAGCTAAATAATTAGTCTATTAGCCGGTGAAGTTTATTGTCGCGCCAATGAGCGACTTCGGTTTTCATTGATGGGCTGTTGGGGAGCCCCTGTAAATTTTCTGAGCGACTTCTTGAGCACGAAAAAAAAGAGTAGATGCGGAGATCAGATCAAAAAGCGCAGACACGTTGCAAAAGTTACAAATAGGTTTTTCGTGACTATAACAAAACGTATTTGTAATAAAAAATAAGTGAAGAAAATAATCTTTCTAAATCCAAACAAGTTTCAATCACTCCGCTAATCCCTCTCAACCTGTGTGGTGGCGTGGCTAAGAGTGGTGCTTCAAGTATGTTTTATATTGACGGAGACACAGACAAAGTGGAGAAGAGTGCCCTGTCATTAGAGAAAGGTTATACGTTTTCTATCCAATATATATATTTTAATAATATAGCGAAAAGCTGCTGAGCAAAACTCGAGACGTAACATTGTTAATTAGAACAAAGAGAATTTAAATAATAGATAGAGTTAATTTAAGAATTCGCAATTTTTTTTTGCAATTTAAAATCGATTAATGAATAACAATCGTTTTTACTAATTGTATTAGTATGTATATCCTAATCGCCATCTTACAACGTAACTTTCATTGTTTAAATAAATTAATAATATTTTCTTTATTGATATCTTTGTTTAATAACTGGTTTTGAATACGTAAAATTCTTACTCATCTTCCTTAAATCAGTATTTACGCTTTGTTACATTCATCTTTGTGTTACAATTATGTATTGCACAATTATTTGTAAATTAAGTTCCGATAGTATTGATTAATACACATAGAAAGTTTATAATTGGAATTTATCTATCAAAATTAATTTAGAACGTATTTTTGTTCGTTAAAAAAGATTACAGTTATAAATTTAGCATAGTAAACAATAATTTTCGTCTAGATGTGATGTCACTCTACATGAGGTAATAAATTTGATCAGTTACTCTCACCCAATTAAGCCTATACGTGAAGTAACACGTTATTCTAAACAGCGCTTTGTTCTATTTTCGAAAGTACAGCGGGTTGTCGTGACATAGTTCTTATCTATTCGGACCGGCTTGATAAAGACTAAGACCGGGTTTCAGTTGTTTTTGGTTATTTCATACAGCCCATAACATTGAATTGATCGATTTTGTTCAAAGTAAATATACTTATTGTATATGTATAATTACACACACACACACACATACACACACGCTAGTGGAAAAAATTAAAGGATCAAAAGAAAATTTCAAATTTTTTGACGCTTTTTAACTGGCTGTATTTCCCTTGAAAATGGTCGTACTGGAATTTAAAACAGAGCGTTTTCAAGTTTGAAGTTTCTAGTTTTGAGATCTCATAATCAAAAAATTTTTCAAGCAGCATGGTCTGCTCAATCCTCATGAATACCAAAAAAAATTATTCTATGAAATTTTTTCAGTTTTTTTTTAGTCTACGAACTCGGAAAAAATTTTTCTAACTCAACCACTATATGGATCGGATAACTTGTTTATTCAGCTTTAATTTGCATTTTTGAGAAGTTCAATACCACTACCTCTTGCTGAGATATCGAACTTTGAATGGAAAAGGATCTTTTTGTCTTTAACCATCAATATCTTAGCAACCGCTGATTGCACAAAAAAATTAAGGTAGGTTTTGAAATCTTGAATAAATTTCCCAAAAAACTAAACTACTGTTTTTGAAAAAAAAATTTTTTTTTTTATTCTTTACATTAATTTGCAAAATCAAGAAAAAAAGGGTATTTGGTGGCTTTTGGGATAATCAAGCGCAAAGTTGGAACTATCGAGAAAACCAGAAATGTTAAGCGTGTCTTTTACAGTTCAATGTGCCCATAAAAACCCCACAAAGTTTTAATGCAATCGATCAAGCCGTTTTTTTGTTTTATTCAATCGAATTTTTGAAAAAAATTAAACGATCGCAATTTTAACTTTAAATGATCATAACTTCGAAAAAAAGGCAAAAAAATTTTTTTTTTTAATTTTGAAACATTTTTTTTTAATGACTCCAAAAAATTTTGAACAAAAACTACCGCCGGCATCAGCATTACGCGAAGCGTACCACATGGAGGTTGCCCGGTCGGATTTACGCTTCATGTGTGTGTTTTTTTAGGAGAAATGAGACCCGGCGGCTCGTCAGTTCCTCCGTAGTTAATGACTCCAAACTCATTCTCATAAGAATATGTGTGTGTGTGATGAGGAAAAAAAATTTTTCAAAAAAAGCATTTCAATTCTCTTAATAACGGGTATTGCCACCCCTGTTCTGAATAACGGCTGCCAAGCGTTCAGTCATATTAATGCAGCGGGCAATTTGGGGTTGCGGAATGGTGTTCCAAATTTGCAGAAGTGCACGCTCTAATGCGGCAAAGTTGTACAAATTTTTGATACTCTCTGCGCAAACGACGACTCATTATGTCCCAAACATGCTCGATGGGGTTGAGGTCTGGACTCATTGGTGGGTGCCGCAGCAATGCGATGTCATGTCGTTCTAAAAAGCGTCTGGTGATGTTGGCTATATGTGGACGTGCGTTATCTTGCATTAGAATAAATGTCCTCTGATGTTGTCGTCTGCGCAGTACAATCGGTCTCAAAATTTAGCCAATGTAGCGCTATGCTGTTAAGTTTTCGTGTACAATCAGCAGAGGTGTTCTACAATTTCGTGAAACGCCGCCCCAGACCATGACTGATCCACCACCGTAGGCAACAATCGGACGAACAAAATTCTGGCGAAAACGTTCTCCACGACGATGCCAAACAAGGGAACGTCGGTCGCTCCCATGAAGGATGAACTGGGATTCGTCAGTGAATAAAACATTTCCCCATTGTCTTAATGTCCAAGCTCGATGTGCATTAGCATATGCTAAGCGTGCTCGGCGATGTCTCGCTGTCAAAAGGGGTACACGATTAGGATGTCGTGCATTTAACCCAATTTCGCGAAGACGGTTGATTACTGTTCGGGAACAAATGTTTCGCACTTGATGCTGCTGTCGATGTCTTTGTCGTTGTTGTACCCGATTTGGGAAATATCTTCGCAAATAGTCGTGACACGATGGCGACCTTGTCCAAGGCGACGATTGTATTGGTTCGTCTCCCGGTATCGCGCATACGTTCGAGATACAACGGATTGACTAACACCCATCTGGATAGTAATATCACGTTGACTGTAACCTTCTTCAAGCAGGGTGATCAAACGAGAAACCTCCGGTTCTGATAAATACCGTCTAACCATGATCGAAAATCAAAATGAATTTTTGATTTTTGCAAATTTATGAATTTTTTTTTTGTAGTGCAAAAGGAGTGGCTTTGAAAAAAAATCTGTTTTTTTTTAGCGTTCTAAGAGATCACGAAAATTAATGATAAGCAATTTCTGAATAGCGTGTAGATCGAGTTCGAAATTCGATTGGGTATATCAACTTTATTTAAAATTTAATTAAAATTTTAATTCAGTTGAAGTTTACAAATCAGGAAAATCATGAAATGTAATAACAGGATCGCGTTAAAAAGGGCAAAGATTATGATCATTTATGATCGTAAATCCGACCAGGCAACCTTCATGTGGTACGCTTCGCGTAATGCTGATGCCGGCGGTAGTTTTTGTTCAAAATTTTTTGGAGTCATTAAAAAAAAAGTTTCAAAATTAAAATAAAAAATTTTTTTTTGCCTTTTTTTCAAAGTTATGATCATTTAAAGTCAAAATTGTGATCCTTTAATTTTTTTCCAAAATTCGATTGAATAAAACAAAAAAACGGCTTGATCGATTGCATTGAAACTTTGTGGGGTATTTGTGGGCATATTGAACTGTAATAACTTCATAGTAATAACTTCAGTTCTACTAAATATTTTAATAAAGCTAACACTTTGTTCATGTATTGAAGAGTACTGTAATTTTTTTCATATAAATTAATTGTATATTAAAGTTTTGGTTTGCAAGATTAAGTTAAAAAAATTTTGCAATAATCAAAAGATAGGCAGCGTGTGAATGATCTGATTGTTAAAAGACTCATGCCACCATGGCATTGGTTTCATACTATGAATGTTCAACAAGACTATAATAATCAGATTTTTCTGTCCGTGCAATCACCTCTTTTACTTTCAACCAAATAATTAAAACTTCTATAAAGAATCTTAGATTTTTAAAGATTACTTTTGAAATTTTTTTAAACATTTCTTTACTGATATATATTTCAACCAAAACCTACACAAATACGCACAAACATATAACTTCTTGGCTCTCAGAAACTGCCAAATAATTC